GCCTGCCTATGAAGGGTTTTGATGTAAACCTTCCAGTGGTCACTGCAATGCAATGAAGTGATAGCCTTTCTTATGTTCAGGAACCGAAGGAGACCAAGGTTGCTTTCCTTTCAGCAGAGTCACTAGTGGGAGGAGGTAGTCCAAGCATGGGCCTTGGGCTGCTGTGCCCTCATGCCAGCCTGGAGGAGAGTGCTGTGGTGACAGAGCTGCTGCTGCTCCCCTGATTCAAGGAGGGGATAACCCATTATAGCTGCCGCTTGTAGTCTGCTTGCCTTTCTGCCTCCAGCTTTTATATGGGATCACCACAGAGGTGAAGTGTGGAAAGGGAACAGATCCTTCGGCAGGGTGGGAACAGGGGTCTCGGGGGGCTGCCTTCCCTGTGGCGTTACACAGGCAGCATCTGCAGTGTGTTTTTGAGACTTCTTGGGGCTGATGAGTTTCAAAAGATACAAGGCCACAAAAAAAGTATGAGTTTCTGTTTGCGTAAGTTTAATGAGCCCTTACTAAAAGTTCAGTGCATAGACTCCGACCTGTTTCACTTCAAGTGTCAGGTATGTTTGAACTTTAAGTGAAACATTAGCTAACGTGTCTGGATTTTTTCCTTCAAGAGGCCCTAAGTCTCCAAATATTTTCTGGGATGCGAGTCCTTTACTCAGGTTTTTCAGACTAGATTTTGACAACTTTTGGCTGTGACACTTGTAGTGTCTTAAAGCAAGTAGTAAGGCTGGATTCAGCCCATCATGTGAGGGGGAGAAGTGTCTGTATCCCCTGGAGCTAGCTGCCTTCCTGGGGGAGGACTTAAACTTTAAGAGACACGTTTACTAAAATGAACTGCTAGCAAGTGGAGATGTTCTGGTGTCTACTATGGGGAGATGAAGGTGGATCGTGTGTCAAGTCTCAAATTGGTGCACTTGAGGAAAAAGAATGCATAACAAGCTAGTTGTTTTTCCCTTGCCCCCTTTTTTTATGACCCTTTTTAAAATTAAATAGGGAAGATAAACTGCTGGAAGCTAAACTTGCTCACAAATGAAAAAGGGAAAGGCAATGTCTGCATCCTAAATGGACTGAAATCACTAGCTATATTAGAAGTAAAATTGTGTTTAGGTGAGTACCCTCAAATAATAGAATTTCTTTTTCCCGACTGCAAAATTTGGAGGATTTCATCAAGAGAAACAATTGTACAGTGAAGCTGATTAGACACAGCTGTCAAATCCACTAAGTAAGCACTTTAAAAATTAATGAAAAATTATCTTTTTTTTTTCATTTTGTGTATGTGTTTGGAAAAGAAAGGAACTTATTAGTTGGTATGGTGGAAGGGATAAGACACACAACTATATATTTCTATATTTTTATTATTACGTATTATAAATTCACTAAACCTAAAAGATGCTGCTGGACACTGTCCACCTCCGCTCCATCCCTGTGTGCATGAATGTTTTGGCAGAGTCTCCTGTAAACAGGATGTGGAGCTGTCAGAGCCCTGTTTGACTGCAGTTGTCGGCGTTTTGGAAAGTGTATGGACAAATTCTAGCTGTTTGTATTGTATGTGTGTGCAACCTTCCTCCTTTCCTTCTCCTGAGATGCTATTAATTTAATCTCTTTGAACTTGATCCCAAAGACCAAATACTCTGGATTAAACACAGCATGTAATACTGCCTTTTGTTTTTTGCCATTGCTGCATTACTTTCCCTGTGACGTTAATCTTGAATTGTTTGGAATAGCCTTAGAGCTGACTAGTTACTCTGTGTTTCTTGGTAGCACTATATGAACAATGCGTTAATGATGCCTTACTATGCATGTTATTCCGGTTTTGAAAAAACAAGCATTGTTCTGATGCAGAGTTGAGACACAGACCCTGCTATATAAACTCTCCTGAAATGGAGACACGCTTCAGTGGAGAATCTCTAAATGGGATGCTTGAATGGTCTTTTCCCAAGTAAATAAACATTGCCTCTTACTTAGTTTGAAGAAACATGGCACACAGCTGCTCTTTACTCCTTGTTGTAAAATAACGGGCCATTTGCTGATTGAAGCAAGCTATTGGCATTATTGCTAGCAGCTGCTGAACTCTTAGTGTTAAACAGCTCATAAATGTTAATCATGTTGCAGTTTTTGTTAGAGCTTGTCTGCATATCCCAGAGGCACAAGCTAATACGTCACACTTTTTTTTCACATGAACTGATGACATTTCTTATCAGAGATTCCAAATAGTAACTTCATAATTCAGTAGTTTTACTGTGGTGCCTGAAGTTTCTTCAAAACTGCACTTTTAACTACAGCTTCACTAGTACTAGTATAGCTTTATTTAGATGTGTTTCAGTAGGCTCAAAGCTGCTGAGCATGCGGTGGAATGAGTACACAGTTGAAGAGAATATGCTGTCTGCTTACTGACATGTTGTTTGACAAAGTCAAACCCAAATCTAAACTGAACAAAATCCGTTCAGTTTATCCTGTGCTTTGGTTTAAAGTCACTTTCATACTGTAATGGTTTTGCTGCTATACAAGCGTGAAAAGTTTACAGGAAAAGTAAGGGTTGCTGTAGAAATGTGTGTTATCTGCATAATAAGCAATTAAATAATGTGCTGTGGCCTTTTAACAGTCCCTCCCACTCTTCAGCCAGTGGGAATGTGTTCTTAAAAACAAGACAAAGCTCCCAAACAAACTAATCCTTTCCTTCCTTCAGGTCAGATTCTGCTAGTGTTCTCTGTAGAAAACACTGGTAAGGTCCCAGAACCTGGTTTTGAGCCTGCCAAAATGATTGTAAATACAGCACTAATGAAAGCATAGATAATGGAAGTAAAAGCTGCTGTATTATTGTAGGAGTTTAACTTTTTGATTTTAATCATTGTGAAGGTCAGAAAGAGGACAGTATTGTTGCTAGTGTATGCCATAGAGAAATTATGCTTACCACATCTAAAATCCGTTCTCTCATCCTTACTTTTATGTGAGCATCCAGTGGAACTTTTTCTCTCTAGGGCAGTGGTGTATGTTTACCAGAACTGCACTTTGTGCCTAGAGGCTATACTCCCTACCAAACTAGTCGAAATCGCAGTTAGTCTAGGCTTCTGGTATCAGCCTGTGAGCACAAGTTAACCTAACTACAACGCGACTGTTCCCGTACAAAGCTATATACTCTCTGCTGTGTATTTGGATGGTACTTTGGTTGTGCGTGTATGTATGCTGTTCCTCTTCAGGGTTCTCTCCTGGCTGCTTGCAAAGGAATTTCTGTCCCTGAAGAGATGTGCAGGACAGGGACAAGTATTGTGGACTGATGCTAAATGGATCCTATCCTGTAAGGTGGGGAGGTCCCAACTTGAGCTGGAACCTCTTGGGTTTTACAAGATAGACTTCATGCAAGAAGTATGGTTTAGAGTATGGAAGATCATAAACAGGACTGGTTTTTGTGGTTGTTAAAGTATCAAACCAAAGATACATATACCTAACACTACAAGATACAGAAATCTGTGACCAAGGGTTTGATCTCGAAACATTCAGTGATCTTATTTCTAAGGACAGGAGTAAATGTCACTCTTCAAGTAGGTGGATGTGAGAATTTGTTTCTGGACTTGCTCCTAAAAGCCCGGAGAAAGACTGGATAGTACACGGTCTAGTAGTTTTTGGTTAGAAATGAAACAGAAAACTCTCTGGGAAAGTAGAGGGGACTCCAGATTGTGTATGTGTGGTTAAATTATAATTGCATGACTGATATTTTGGGAAAGGTATAATTGTAAAAAGAATTTTGGATTTTTAAAAAACTTTCGAGCTTACTTACTTGTAAAGAAGTGGTGTAGTTCGTTACAGATAGTATGACCATCCAACTATCAGTTCTGGTCACGTTTTTTTTAGTGGGTTTCTAGTTCTTTTTTTTTTTCTTTCTCTTTTCTCCAAAAGGTACACCTAAACATTCTACTGTTGCCCTTTAATTCTGTCCCATCTACATGTATGTCTCATACAGCATATCAAGACAGCTTGCTGAGATTAGATACAACTTCAAGTATCCAGAGTGGTACTTAAATGAAAAAAGAAAGGAAAAAAAAACAAACCAAAACCCCAAACTGATTGAACATCTCGGTGAGGACTGAGTGCCTTGTTTTGAGTCTGAAAGTAAGTTTGTGCTGCATTCTTAAACTGACAGAATGGAAGCATACTCAAATGACTGAGTTCAAGAAATGAGTTAAGAAAATGGTGACCTGAATTTTGGTTCTCTTAAAAATTCTGATCCAGAAATACATTATTGTGGCTGCACTCAAGTTAAAACTTTTTTTTTGACCACGTGCATATAGGTGGGCTTTGGTGTGAATTGGATGCTGATGAAAAGCATGACTGACTTGGTAAAAGCTGTCTGACACATGTAGAAAGCTGTGTACCTGATAAATCTTGGCTAATGCTATAGTCCTAAGACTGATCTCGGAGATCAATTTCTGGACCAAAAAATGAGATGGACAAAGAAACGAATCCTCCTGAGTAAGAAGCTTTCCTTGTTTTTGTTTGATAATTCTGTAACCCTACTGAAAAGTTTGAATGGATGACCTAAATGTTGTTCCAGATCTCTGATTGTTTCAAGTCTCTGAGCAAAGGAGTAAATTGATCTTAAACATGAAGTCCTGCGTTCAAGGATTTGATTTTGGATTTGTAGAAGATTAAGAAAGCAATAGTTAAAGGAGCTGACAGAACTTAGAAGCAATGGATGGTGTACACTGTTAAGCATTTCTTTGCAACTGTACAGTTTGAAACCCAAATAGGCTAGTGAACTGCCAAAGAAGTGCTTACCTATCCAGGTAGGGAAGTACATCACCAGTACCATCTTTAATATTACTTGTGTGACTCATAAGTAGGAAGACACACTCAAGTTTATTAGGGAGTAACTTGTGTGTTAGTAGATAATTTGCGTGGGGAGAAGGAAAGTGGTGAAGAACTGAAATATTAAAAGGTGCAAAAGAAAGGTTGTCAAAAGTACTAATCGCTCTTTTTTTTTCTTTTTTTTCTTCTCTCTTGCAGACCTTCAAGTGCTGACCTTCTTGGTCTATTAAGTTATTATAAACTTTTGCTGCTCTGCGAACATATAAAGATGTCTCGCAGCCCTGATGCTAAGGAAGACCCTGTGGAATGCCCCCTTTGCATGGAGCCTCTGGAGATTGATGACATCAACTTCTTCCCTTGCACCTGTGGCTACCAAATCTGTCGTTTCTGTTGGCATCGTATCCGCACTGATGAGAATGGACTTTGTCCTGCTTGCAGAAAGGTAAATATCCTGGAACAGCGGCTTGTCTTGCACATATCACAAGGCTCTTGCATTGTGTTGGTACCAAAGACATCCTTTTCCTTCGGGGAAACATTCATCTAGTCATGGCCTAGATCAAGGGTGAGGTGTTGGATCTTTCAGATTCTGTCTGCATATGTGTCGAAGCTGTTGTGCAACGGCTAGTCTTGGTTTGTTAAATTCAGAACTGGATTAATAGGGGAAGCTGTGGATCAGAACCAAGGCATGCTGGGAGAACTGCCAAAAAAAAAAAAATCCTTTGAGTTGGGGTGCTCATGCATTGACAAAATCTTTTCAGGAAGGACAGTGAGGATTCCAGCATCAGGGGTTTGCTGAGGGCCAAGGTTCAGCTAAACTAGCAGCGCTGTCTGAGGCAAGCTTATAAAGCACCTGCTTGTTTTGTTTGTGGCATTGGAGCTTTTAATCCATATTTTTCTGGACTCTAAACGTGTAAAACCTTTGGAAAATACATCCAATGGTGTTAAACTTTAAAGCATTTCAAAATCTAGGCTTAAGTCTATTTGTCTGTTATTCTGATCTTGTTGCCAAATGCTTAAAGGTAGTACTTAGTGTCACACTTAATTTCTCCCTATCTCTTAATTGATGTCTGGCTGATGCTTTGGTTGGCCACAACTATAAACTGCAGCTTCACTAAGTTGCCTGCTTTTTCCTTTGAATTATTTTCTTCCTCCTTTTAGTGTTTTGCTTAACCTCATTATTTCCTTATCTTCAGTATTTAATAAAATTCTTTCTCAATATCCTCTTCTCTTTAACGCTAATGACTTCCTTTGATTGTAACTTTCTTGCCTGGCCTTCCTCTTTTTGTAATCGCAGCTGCTTATGTCCCCTCTTTCTCCTGCTATTTAATTGTGATCCTATCCTCAGTTTATGCCTTTGTTGGCTTCCTGTCTCATATTACAGCTCCCTCTTCAGACCCCAAGTAATCTTAGTTGGTCTCACTGTCTTTATTCACTACCACAGCTTTCTATAAGCACTTCCAGTCATATTTTCTTACTGCTCTTTTGGGCTTTGGCTATACTAGAGTTATCACTGCTAACCTGCGTTTGGATGCCTCTGCAAGCTTGAAGGCTATCCCACAGCAACACACATTTGTTAACAAATTGTGCAAATTTGTTACGATATTTGAGCTGTGTGTTCTACAAGGAAGATCCACCTGCCATCAGCCAAATGGTTCTCCACGTGATACCTGCTGTAGATGACACATGCTGTATAGTAATTTTCATAGTACAAGAAAACTTCTGTTCTGCTGGTACAAACATGAGATTCCTGGAATTTCCTTGTCTAAGTCGCTTCATGTACCTGGATTTATTACACTACTTTTTGCCAACAACTATTTGATTAATCTCTGCCTGTTCATTACTGGAAGTTTATGGAATATATCTGAAAAAATCATAGAAGCAGCATGCTATTCACTGCCTCTGGGTATCTGAATTCTGTGAAATACGGATACTGCCACAGCTGAACTTCTTAATTTGGAATAATCTGGCATATGATTGGATGTGCAAATATTTTGCTGAATTGGATACAGTTTGCTTAAAAAAACAGTTTTGGGAGAAAAGCTAGAATGAGTGCTACGATCAGAATGAAGCACACGGACCATTTCAGGAGAGGAAGGAGACCTCTTCTTTCACAATGGACGAGGATTATGTCCTTGATACTTTCTTCATCCATGGACTGCCAAGATGTTCCTGAGTTGAGTTGCAGCTATATCGCTGGATTGTAGGAGATTTGCATGGAGGAGGCTGAGGAGTATGCTCCTTTTGTGGCATAGACAAAGACATTGTGGCGCAGAGACCCCGTCAGGATCTTGGGAATAAATCGTTTCGAGCTCCACGTTTGATGGCAGAATCAAATAAGTCTGAAGAAGCCACCTTTTGAAGTGTGCTGGACCTTCTGAACCAGGTACGTGTTTTTGTGTGCAGTGTGTCTAAATAGTTCCTATCTGTGTGTAGTAAGGTTTCTGGGGAAAAGATCTAAGCAGTCTTCTAATTCATATCTACGATGGTGCGTATTGGTTGTGACTGCTTAAAATGCTGAAGTGCAAAAGATGGCAAAGCAACAAAATTTTTGCAGGAAAGTTTATAATAGGTACTATGGTTTCAACAGGTATGTCATGTTTATAATGTATATACCAGTGCAGGATACTTACTGCAAAATGGACTGCGAATAAACATATATTAAAGCAAGGCTGAATATGTTATGTACAATTACATAATAGAAAACTGCTATTTGTGCCAATGGTATTCAATGCAATGCGAGTTCTCCAGTGGTTTGATCACTAGTCTGTGGAGAGGAGCAATAAATAAGTTCCCTATCCAGGGATTTTGGTTGAAAGGTTTGCGGGAGATTTTGGAAAAGCCTGTGATGAAATAGTTTGACTATACACTATAGTGGCGTCTATGCTGTTAGTTTGATAGAGCTTAACTGTGCATTGCACATATACCATTATTTTCTTAAGCTTCTCTAATTTTACTTCAAACTGAAAAGATGTTAGCTTGCAGTTTTTTCTACCAAGGAGAAAATACTTCTACATGCTTTAACTGTTATATAGCTTAACATTTGCATGTGCAGAATATGTTCACGTGGTTGCAGTCAATTGAGTTTAGTATGTCCTAAGTTTCCTCCTATTAGTAACAGTAGTAGATGAACATTTGCTTTGTTTCGATTTGTGAAAGTAAGGTGCTAATATGAATTTAACTTGAATGCTGGTTGGAAACTAGTACTTGTTAGTCTTAACACGTTAAAAGGTTTCTAAACTTTGTCTGAATCTTCTGAAATAGACTCGGAAATTGTTTCTGTTTAATTCATTAACTACAAAAAGTACTTCCTTGAAAAATAGAACTGACCTGCTTTGAGTTCCTGATGCCCTTCAGAATTGTAGGTGTAGTCAATTGTAAGATGCTAAGCAAGCCTTCCTGTTTTTTCCAGTCAATTGATTTCTTAACTGTGAGTGAAATAGCTGCTAACTAGTCAAATTAGAATGAAAATATGCTGTCCTCAAAAGAGACTTCTGTAGCCAGAAGCTGGTTTAGAGGTCACCAGACTCACTGGTTCTGGTTGTAAAGACAGTGATTTTTATCTTTACAGTGATTTTTCTTTTTTCTTTAAAATTCAGCGGCCTGGGTACTGTTTGTCCTATGAATAATATGTACCATTTCAGTCGCTTGTGTTGCTTTAATAGGGCAAGGCATTCTCAGACCTTAGTGTCAGTTGTTGCAATCTTTAAATCCAACAATAAAAAAGCCTAGCTCCTTCACATTCCTTAATTGCTTTGCCCTTCCACCGAATAATATAACTTGATACACAGCTGTTCCTGTGGTGTGGCTTTGCCTTGTTCTCCAGTTCCTTGACTTAGCTAGCTTTATTCCTCCTAGCATCTTGAGTTAGAAATGGAGAGAAATAGTAAATTGCTACATTTATGACCAAGAAACTAACATGTTTTAAGCATGTTTTTGTCCATGTTTCTCCTGCTTCTGTGTAAAAGGAACACCTGGTCTTAATGCACAGTGTCCAAATGTCAGTTGTTTGTTCTGGTGCTTTTAATCCCACAACTGAGTAGTTTGGGTGCAACAATTGATATTTAGAAATATAGGAAATTGCTATTTATTATTCTTGATATAAGTAGTATGCATAAACCTTATTGACTTTCTCTGTATTTCTCATTTCAGAACCTATTCGGTAGCAAGGCAACAACTGGGAAATGTTGGTACATCCATTGTGTGGAAGGAATGTGACCCATCTGGGAATGACAAAAGCAAAGTGCTTGATAAATCCCAGCTCAGCTTTCAACAATTGGGAAAATGTGGGGAAAAAAGTCTGAAAGAAAACAAAACTTAAATGACAAGACAAACTTAGTCAGGAAGACTGAGAATTCATCAAGGGCCATCTCTGATTAAAGAAACGAGACTACAGAAGAGACATTGGAACTTTTGATGAAGTTCTTATAGGACTACCAGCAACTTGTAGTTAGTGTAAACAAAATCTGGTAATTTTCCATGTTGGCACATCTTGTTCAGGTGGCTTACGTGGTTTTTGCTGAAGAGGATTTGTATAACTTAAGTGGAGGGTGTCAGCTAAACTTAGTCAGTGAATCAGTGATGTTGACATCTCTTAATGTCTTGCATCTGAAAATAGATAAATGCTGATAACATTTGGATCTCAAATCCTCTACCAGCTAAGGAATCAGTGATAGTAGGTTAAACAAGTATCTTACGCTTCTTGTGTTTAAAAAAAATATCATCTCAGTAGTGTTGCCACTTCAGCTGTTGCAAGACCTGAGAGCTTCTGGTACCTGTGGTCCTCCTCCTACTCCTATTTTGTATGGTTGGACAGAGTAAACAACAGATGAAATGGTACTGTGAGATACACCAGCACTCAATCCACCTTGCTTGGCTTTCAGAGCCATGTTCCACCAGCCTTCCCTGCAGGTATTCTGACTGTAATTGAACTATCATCTGAGTTCATAAACTTCAACACTGTGGGAAGCAATCACTCTGAAGATGAAATCATTTATTGTCCTATTTGTAGACTGACTTTATGTCCTTATTTGAAAGAAACAGGATTTCTAATACTTACTATTTTTTAGAATTAGCTTCTGAAATGTTGGTGCTGTGCTTACTTGCCTTCCTCCCTCCTAAAATGCACAGTATCTCTTATCTGTCATCATGCCACACATTATATATAGATAGGAAAATCATCTATCACTTCTTAGGATTGGGTTTCTGATTTATTCTTGGGATTCAGGAGGTGCACACAGATTCATTTACAGGACCTGCAAGTCAGGATATCCAACTACTCATTCCTTAGAAGCATTAAACATGTCATAAGAGTGATAAACATACATATGAAACATTTCATATATAATACAGCTCTATAGTATCTGGTGAGAACTTCTGATGATTCTATTGCTCAAACAAGTGCTGTTATCCATGGTGGCAAATCAACTACTGCTACTTCTTAACAATTGAAATCCTTATTCAGGCAGTCTCGTACTTTCTGCTGAGATTTCTCTTCCCTGATTCTGAAGTTGCTGTTTAGTTGTGTGCCTCTCAGCAGTTCTTGTGCTCTCCTGTACTAATACAAACTACTAGTTTTACTATGGACAAATAACCGTTCTGCTCAGGGTTATGCTTGAGCTACCCAGGATGTTTCCTGACTAACGTTCAGGACCTCCCGTAGCAAATAGCTGTACCGAGAAGGAACATACTGTCTGATTTTTTTTCTCATTTGAGAATATGCTCTGAATGTGGCTATACTTGGCAAGAAAGAAGCTGATGAACTTTGGCACTGTTTGCTGTAGTTTTCTTGGACCTTCAGGAGCCTTACTGAACCTACTGAAAACCATGAATTCATTTCTTGCACAGTACCAGAGAGCAGCACACTTGCAAGCCTTGCCTTGCATAGTATGGGATGTGGAGAAGGAATTAATCTGTGAAAGGATGGATTGTGGGTATGATACCACATCACTTGATGTAGGGCAAGCCATCTTATTTTTGGAACTATATCTACCTTATACTGGTGCATTTGTTTTCTTCCCATTCCTACCTGAACTCAGCTTGACTGTGATAACTGACCTAACTCTCTGCTGAGCAGTCTTTCTCTTCCCTAAAACAAAACAATATCTATTCTTTATTCTACATGATTGACTAACACAGATTTCGAGAAACTCTTTAAATAAGTGAAATGCCTTGCAGAATTATTCTGCATCTCTGAAGTCCTCATGTGTACATGTGTTAAAACTCAAGATAATCACTGCTAATCTCAAATGACCTTACTAATGGGTCATTGCTGTTCATCAAGTAGATTGTGAAATCTGTATAAGGTATTCAATGTTACTTGTGAATAACATAACTTTTTAAGAAACGGTACGGTTTTAACTGTTCTTCAAGGGTAACAATAATTATTGTGTTTTCATGTTAAGGACTTTGGCTACTGCTAAAGTATCTTAGAAGTTTAAAATTCTTTGTGATACTAAAAACATGTTCCAGAGGTCTTGGTGTTTAACCATGAGATGCCATCAGCTGAAGTTGACTGCAGCATATTTTCAGAAGATGTCTCAAGTATAGTATAATGGTGCTGAACTTTAAACTCTTTAAACTGTAAAATGGATCTTGTTTTGTTTGGGGATGTACTCAGAAGACTATCAGGTCTAAGCACTTGGCTTGTTCAGTAGCATCATGCAAGTATGAGGAATATATGGTTTTAACCTAAACCTTATTTTCATCTGCTGCTGTAGCTTTTTCTCAGGTCATTTAGTGTGACAACTAGTTTTGTGTTCTACCATTAACAGAGGACAGTCAGGAAAAAGTTAAATTCATTTTTGTTGGACTTCTACTCTGAAAACTTCGGTTATGGTAGTACAAGCAAAGAACTTAGTTCAACATATTGGTGAGCTTAACTTCTTTATCTTAAGTCTTTACCTTAATGCACATCTCCTGTACTACTCTTATTTTTTTACTTCATCTCAGTGTTTACAAACACTTCTTTTTGTTTTGAGATATATTTTCATATACTTGCTTCTGTGCTTAGCATTGCTTTGTATATAAAGTGTGAAATCTAACTTGTCAGTCTGAGAAAACTGGAACAGGTAAGGAATATGCGACTGCTTTGAGGAGTAATCTGAGGCAGAGGACAGCACGCTGTGGTCTACAAAACCAGCCTAAAATAGTGCCTTTATAGCAATGCTCTGCATGAATAGAGCAATCTTTCTAGGTAACTCTGAGGACACTTGTACTTCTGCTAGATACTTTTGAGATTAAAATCTACAGTGTTATGTGTGTTTGAGGAGTTACCTGTAGATGATGATCTTGAGGTTAAAAATGCACCTTTGTCCAGGAAAGACAAAGCCCAAGTTCCAAACTGGTACACAAGCATGGTGAGAATACTGTTAAATCAGTTTGCAATAACTGTATTGAAATCTGTCTCTCTGCTAGGAGAAGTTAACCATGTAAAGACGGAGCCGTGTAATGGTGTTACTGTTTTGAATTTGGTGAAAATTATATTTGTATTTTGATTTCTTATTCTGTACTCTTTACTTTGTTAATACACTTAAGTATCCAAATCTGTATCAGACAACTAAATATAAAGTGAATATGCAGGGCATGCTTTCACCCTGCTTACTATGCTATGTTAGTGAAATCTTAATAGGATGTGTTGGCTGTCATGTTGCAGCTGCTTGTAGTGTTACCAAACTGACTAGGCAGCTGGGTTAGAATGTGGCTATTGCCCAAATCAGTATTATGTCTATAAATAGGAGAATTCCATGAAAATATGCGAGATGTTCACCTTTCCCAAAGGACTGAATATGCTACTTCTATAATGTGGCTGGCCGTAACAATCAGAACAATGTAACAGAAGAAAGAAATTTGTGTGTTTAAAACATTGGGATTAATGATTTTCAAATGTGTTGTTTCTTACATGGGTTGTTTTTAATGGTATTTGTTATATTTAGCCATATCCAGAAGATCCAGCAGTGTACAAACCACTCTCCCAGGAAGAGCTGCAAAGGATAAAAAATGAAAAGAAACAGAAACAAAATGAGAGGAAACAGAAGATATCAGAGAATCGCAAACATTTGGCCAGTGTACGGGTTGTACAGAAGAATCTTGTCTTTGTGGTAGGGCTATCTCAGCGCCTAGCAGATCCAGAGGTGAGCGGTTCACACTTGCAAGTCTTGCTCCTAACTTACTGTCAAGGAACCATTGGAATACCCTTGTGGCCACCCTTGTCTGTCTCCCTGATGGGTACAAAATGAATCAGCATTGAAAAGGTTCACTGCTGCTGAGGCTCCCTCTTCTTAAGGGAACCTACTCAGCTTCCTTCTCCAAAATAACCTCAATAAGTGTTTGTCTTTGCTTTTGGGAGTATGGTTGTTCTATTTTTTTTGTTAAGGAAATTGTTCTTTGTATTTGTTTAAAAATGACTTGTTAGGCTAAAAATTAGCTTAAGGGTTTTTTTAGGTACTCATTTTCCTAGGCTGGATCTGCTGGCACTATACAGCTGTGTCACGCACCAGCAATTCTAAAGTGGGAGCCTGTTTGGATTATAAAGAACAATTGTAGAGTGTAGCACAAACCTGTAGGGAGAGAAGAAAAAAACCAACACTTGAAGTGTAACTAGGAAGGAGCATAAGGGTGGTCAGTTGAGGGGAAAAAAATTAGTAAGAGGAAGACCCAGGAAAGAGTTGACTTGCTACTCTGCATCATCAAAAAGAAGCTTTTCATTTGAGAAAACTGATTGTGCTTAAAATGTTTTATTTACTTCCATCATCAGTCAGCTGCAGGTGGCTAATGGAATTAGTGCTAATGAGTAAAAGTACCTTGAATTATAATATGGAGGGAATGTACTACAGGATAAGGTAGATGTCTTCAAAACTACTGTGCCAAGTTAAATTCACCTGATCAGACTAAATTGTCTGGAGGAATCTAGTTAGAAGTTGGCTGGGGTTGGGGGGTCACCAAGGAATAGGGGCCATTTTTGTGGTC